GCTGGGAGGGAGGAGGGGGAGTTAGGGCGAGGACTTTGGGGAAGGGGTGGAGTTGGGGCGAGGCCGGGGGTGGGGAAAGGGGCGGGGCCAGGGCCCGTGGAGTGTCCTCTTTTTTAATTTTTTAAATATGGTAACCCTATATTAGTGCCACAATTTTTTGGGAGTGGATTTAAGAGGGGATGAGCTCCATGGAAAGAAAAGTGAAAGGAGAGGGGACATTGAAGGGAAGAGAGGTGAGGGGGTCAGGGCAGGGGAGAAGAGCTTATTGAGGGGCAGATTTGGAGTGAAGCAGAGGTAAAGAGACTGGGAAGGAGGGGAAAGGTTGGACCAACAGCCGATCATCACAGGACAGAGAAAGTCAAGTCAAAACTATAGAAAGTTCTCTGAATGTTGAAAGGCTCCTGCTTTGACTGCTTCTGCAGCAGCACCTACTGTCTGGAGTGTCTGGGTAGCTCCTCTGCATCTTCCCCCTATGCCACGTGTTGGAGATAGGCACCATCCGAGTCCTCATTTCCCGGTGTGTTTGTGTGTCTCCCCTGCAAGTTCTGGCTCCAGGGGGCTGCTGGTGAGGGGTGGCCCCAGTGGGACCCCATTTTACCCCCTCTCTGCTGCTGCTTCTACTGGCTGGCAGTTAGTAATATATGTCAGCAGGGCAGGGCTGACATAATCACATATACTTGAGTAAGTCTGACATTCTGGCCAATAGATGCATGTACATTACATAGGGCATGCTCACCATTAAAAACAAAAGTCTCACTATGGAAGCATTAAAGTCACTTTGTCATGCTGAAACTGCCAGTGTTCAGAGTGCGATCTGAGATGTATATTTTTGGTCTTGACTTGATTATAGACCATGGCTGGATTATTTATGGCTGGTTGTGGTGGTACAGGGAGGGGAGTTGTTTATACAACCTATTGTGGTCAGTTTGATTTAATGTACAACTGCATGTGAATAATTGCATTAATTTCTGGGCACTTCATTCCCAGGAAAATTTCGATTAACTTAATGGAACAAACTGAATGAACTTCAGAGAACAGCAAACAAACAAACAAAAAAAGATTAGCGAGATGGCGGGATTGGCCTAGAAAGAAAGGATAACTACCAGGGATGTGTTACAAATATTTGTAAACACCAGAACGAATGGTCTGTATTCAGTCAAGCACTTCCTCAAGTCTCATTGACTTTATTCTGATTTAAGCACATGCATATGTGTCTTGCTGAATTTGGAGTCCAAGGAAGGAGAGGAATTAAAGTCAGACCCTACTTCTGTTGATGTCAGTGGCAAAACTCCAGTTGAAATCAACAGGAGCAGAAGCAGGCCCTTATTTAAGATAACAAGCAGATGACTAGATGAAAACAGTCACACTGAAAGAAGGGTAGCTTAGTTTGAATATCAGGAAAAGCCTCCTGACAATTAGTTCTATTATGCTGTGAAGGAGACTCCCAAGAGAAGTGTCCGAAGATACATGACTTGAGACATTTAAAACGAGGTTGGATGTTACACTAGTAAATGTATAGTAGGGAACAAACTAACTGTGAGAGGGACTAGATTAACAGGGAAAGCTGGCAAGAAAATGTTTCTTCCCTGTCATGAAACATTTAAATGAAAATGTTTTGTTTTCGTAGAAATTTTCAACAAAATATTTTGACTTTTCATCAAAAACTTTTCAGTTTTCTGACAGAAAAAGAAAAAAAATAGAAAAGCAGATGCTGTCATGAAAATGTTGGTTTATAAAAAAACTCATTTATTTTGGGGGGGGGGGAGAAAGGTTTGATGGAAAATTGTCAAGCAGACCTACTAAAAGGCCTCTAATTTGTATGATTCTATGGATTTTCAGTTGTATTTAATCTGTATGAGTCCAGGCACTACAGCAGTGGGCATTTCATAAATGATTAAATACAAATCAATCAGGAGGAGACATCTGTAGTGCTTTTATCCTACAAAGTAGCTAGATAACAGATTGATCTCAACATGATTGAATGCTTATGTTTCTTATTCTTTTGGGTTCGATTTCTTATGGCATTTTGAACTTATGTGCATAATATCCAAAGTAATTCTTGCAGAGTGAGGCCCTTAGTTAATTGATATGAACACTGTAGTTTTGGATTTTGCATTGCTGTACTCAACCATACCTCTTCTTGACGGCAGAGGGCGTTTAGCCTGGGTGATGACTGCAGAGTAAAGGTTTGAAGTGCTGTGGCAAGCTCGAATACTTTCTGACAGTTTTACTGAGAAGTGGTTTGGTCCAGTAGGCGGGACGCTAGGCTTGAGTCACTGTTTTGGCCTCAGCAGCACGCAGGCCCTTCGTTAGTACAGTAGCCGTCTCCATCTTTGTACTGGGGCTTGGCTTTGTTGGCAATGAAACATAAACCTGAGTCTAAAATGTCTCCCTGACCTTGGCATTCCCTAGGGTTCTACCCAACACCACTTGGGTCTGAATTCAAACTTTTTTCTCTGTAGAATGCTATACCCACTTCCCTTCTGTGTAAAATAGAGTTAATGAGCCCTTCCTGCCAAAATTATTACTATTTGTTGTCTTGGAGAGTGGTTTATCTTTTCATTTATTGGTTGTAAGAGTGAGCTATTTTACTGTGTATTCCCAGGAAGCCTGTGTGATGTTAACACCAGTCAATGCTACCTGCTCCCAGTTCTGGATACTGTATTTGTCCGGAGAAAGTACAGAAGGTGCGGCCTAGGGATGAAAATTCTGCATGATTTCTGTCAATCTTTTGTGACCGAAGATGCCTTGGGGATCAGCTGCCCTATTTCTGCTGACATGTACCAAGGTAAAACACTTGATGTGGAAACATTAGGTAAAAGGTCATGCATAATTTATGCATTTCATAAAAATATTGGAAGAGGCTTCTTGGCTGCAGGAGAGTTCAATGCATTGGAATGAACACAAAGATAATGTCCTTGGTGTGCAGTCTTCCTAGAGACACATGGAGCTTCCTGTGGGGAGGAAATCCTGTGTTCTTATAAGATATTGAGAGATAGAAACTTAGAATGGTAGTTTGGTATTTACACTCTTATATAATTATCTCCAAGAAATGGAATAATGGCTTTGGAATCAAAGAATGAATTATCAACTTGGTGTTTGACAGGAAAGAAAAAGAAGAAATTGTGTGGATGTCCATATGCACACACCAACACATGCCACATCTGTGGTCCTGATACTTTTGTGATAAATTGCATTTGTCAGGCACCACACCTGAACCGTGCTCCCTAATCCAACTTGTCAGTACTACTACTTTCATTCCAAATCTCTGAGCGGCTTTAGAACAGCCACAATATATTTTTAAAATTAATTATAATTTTCACTTAGTGGCCTGTTGGATTCGTGGTAACGCAAGCAAGCCTGGAGTTCCAGGTGAAAGCTTACATAAAATAGTCCTAACAATAAAATGATTTATAAAATCTCTAAAACATGTATAAAATATTTCTTTGTTAAATATGTGGCATAAACCAAATACTTGATGACGTGGTGTGACATAGCGGGTCTTACCGCAACTTGTTTGGGATGATTGTGTTACCCACTCATGACTTTACAATCATCACTAATTAATGCCAATAAAACCTTTATTCCCCCTAGTATCTCTCTGTTCCTCAACACACATAGTTGTACACTGTTCTGTTTGTCTGAAATGTATACACCATGCACAACTAACTCATAGATCAGGGGTCGGCAACCTTTGGCACTCGGCTCGCCAGGGTAAGCACCCTGGCAGGCCGGGCCGGTTTGTTTACCTGCGGCATCCGCAGGTTCGGCCAATCGCGGCTCCCACTGGCCGTTGTTCACTGTCCCAGGCCAATGGGGGCGGTGGGAAGCGGCGGCCAGCACATCCCTTGACCTGTGCCACTTCCCGCCTCCCCCATTGGCCTGGAGCGGCGAACCGCGGCCAGTGGGAGCTGTGATCGGCTGAACCTGCGGACATGGCAGGTAAACAAACCGGCCCGGTCCGCCAGTGTGCTTACCCTGGCGAGCTGCGTGCCAAAGGTTGCCGACCCCTGGCATAGATAGTCATGTATATTATACATTCACATCTCTCCCTCCTCCCCCAGCTCTATCTAGGATACTGTGTCCTCTTAATACAGGAAGAAGTAATACAGACACCGTTATTTTTCTCCATCCAACAAAAACAGTTTCCCTGCTGGCATGCATTGTACGGTTTATACATGCTGCATTTTGAGATTTGTGTATAAACACTAGTGGTACATCCTAAGAGTTAGTTTTTCATCTCTGGTAGGTTTGGGGCTAAGGTTCAGGGCTAGGACTGTGTCTTTGCTTGTGTTTGTAGAGTGCCTAGCACAATCGATCCTTGATCCTGATTGGGATCTCTGGATCTCACTGCAAACATAAATATTAAATACCAAGGGTGAAATCCTTATTGAAGTAAGTGGAAATTCTTCTGTATTAGACTGAGGACTGCAACCCAGTGCCCTCTAAATATCCTTCCACTAAATGTGAGCAGTTCTCACTAGCATTTCTTATATAATAATCCCACTCTGTGTTGTACAGGTCTAAAAAGGAGCAATAAAGCCATGTATTGAATATTTTGCTGTCACTGTACTTATTGCTCCCGGAATTTCTTGCTGGAGAAATTGATTTAGCTTTTATCCTGAAGTAAAATTAATGACAATGATCTACTCATTATTATGAGGCAGATGTTTACTTACAAGAATGACGGGATTTAAAAAAAAATGAAAACTACGAAATCCAATTAAACATTAAAGATAAATGAGCCTTCCAAACTCTCTCCATGGTATGATGAACTACCTAGGGTGCAGGGACAGAGTGTATCGTGGAGTGATCATGGATTATTATCTTGAAACTTAACTTGAGTCAGGAGACATGAGCAGGACCTCATGGAAAGGTGGTTTACAGAGGTTTAAAAATCCCTGTTTAATTTACTGAACAGTTTAGAAATGCAACACTTCATCACTCCTAAAGGGATAAACTAACAGCAGAAACCCTGTTGGCAGTTTCCTCACTTTGGCTCTGCAACTGGCAATGAGGAAAACCTCCAAAGGAGACAGGTTTGGGTTCGATATGAATAAACAGCCTTAAATTTGAATGCTTATCCAAATTATATGAATGTTCTGAATCTACAGAATGCGTCTGGAATACTGATAAGACCAAGATTTCTCATGAAAGTTATACCTTTACCTCAGCTACGTCTGTCGTCTCTGTCAGTTCCTCCTGTTTCAGGATTTCCTCATTCACCCCAATAAGTAAAAGCCCCTGAATGCTCACCAGAAAGTAGTCTCAGATTAGACAGAGGGACAGAGCTATCATTAATTTCTTCCCAAGAATGTTCTGCTAATTAATGCTCACTGTGATTCTGCAAACCCCACTTGGTGTACATACTGTTGTTTATTATTTGTATACCTCCAGTTGTGTGCTGAATACTTTAGCAATATGGTCCCTGCCCAAAAGAGCCTGCGGTCTTGACACCAAACAGATACAATATGCAACATATGACCAGTGAGGTTCAAGCACTAATTTTGGTTGCACGAGTTATTGTTTTCCGTGGTCTGATTTGATAACAATTCACTGCAGAGAGGGATAAGATTTATTAAGGCTTTATGAAGCAATGCAGTTCAAAAAGGGATGTTAAAGGAGAAAAGGGAGGTGTTTATTAACAGGCATGTGATACCTGTCTTCTTTCTCTTAACGTACTCTCTTTCCATAAGGCAGAAATGAGCAAAACTCTTCCTTTATCCTCAGTGAGAAGATTACGAATGTGATAACATGGATTCCCATTATAAACCCCCAGGCAGTGACCACTTAGCCAATGTTTTAAAAAGGCTTCTGCCATATCTATGCACAATAGTGTAAGAAAGGAGCAGAGTGGGAGACTTAATTCGGCCTGCCTCTATTTTTTTTTTGTTAGCTCTGTGCAGATTCTGAATATTATCCCGTTGGTGGTTAAGAAATTTCAGTAGCCTTGAACAGATGTTCACCATTCAGGGTTCCTCTTTCCAGGTATAGGTACTCAGACCCCATGGCATTGGGTGCTGTGCAAGAGGCTTAGCAGAGAGAGAGAGAATGAAGGGTGGGAAGAGAGAGAGAAAACACCCAAATACAACACCTGTAAGAGAAAATAGGTCTCTGAGAGAACATCCTGAGGGCTCATGCTTGGTGTCACCAGCTGACACTTAACTCACTAATGCTTCCCCTTCTCTCTCCCCCCGTCCTTGGTTTTCCTGTTCAGTTTGCCAGAAATTCTTGCAGACCTATCCAGAGGAGCAGGACCGACTGTGGGAGGTGGAAGCACCAGGGGACTGGAGCCAGCGTGTTAGTATCTGGTTAAAGATTCAACTGGAACCTGCCCTTACAAATAGTGCAGACTTCTCCTTGTCATGTTCAGGTATTTAAACTTCACAGTTAAAAGCTACGCTTCCTTAATGATGACAAAATGCTGCTTGCTCTCATTGGCAGCACATGGAGAAAGCGCTAAGCAAGCAATTCAGCACGTTATCTTTTTATCTGACTCAGAAATGACAGGTACCTCTCAGCTATTGGAGTGGATGGTATGTGTGCGAAAAGTCTATGGTTAGACCCCAAAGCGGGTATCTCAGCTCTAGTATGTAAAAAACCAAAATGCACAGGTTCATTTAAAGGCAAATAGAAAACATTTCTAGAGCCGTGGGGATGTCAGTTACTGAATTCGCCGTTCAGAGGCAATTTTCGTGCCATTCCATGACATAAACTTGAAGGTTCCGCCTCCTTTTGTGTTCAGTTGGGGGCGGGGGGGGGAATCTGTGTTCCTTACTGTACAGCACAGTACTTGGTAATCTTCAAGAGAGGACCGAAATATCTAGTAAACAGGACCAGGATTAGAGATTCTGAAGTAATGAAATCAAATTACAGAGACTCCGAGGGCTACTGACAAAATGCAGCCCTGGCGTAAGAGGATGGAACTCCCAATGCAATGCGTTACACCAGGGCAACAATTACCCCAATGAGCTTAGCACCATAGTTGGGTCGTAGAGATGGGTTGGTTTGTTTGTATAATAAGAAAAGAAACTTGTAGGATTTAGGGACAACATGATTAACTTCATTAAAATATGCTGCCAATGCCACTCTTTGATACTAATCCAATCCATGGAGAACATAGAGATCCACTCCATCGGGTGCAGCTGTAGGATTCAAAGTTCCTCATAAAGGGCAAAATCCTACTTTGTCTGAGCTTCTTCTCCTCCCCTCCCTATCCTTCCCCACAATAACACCCAGGCAGCAACAGGGTAGGAAACACTCCTGGTGTTTTCTTAAGAGCTCATAGGAGGATCTCGCTAATGCACCTAAGGTTCAGATGGCTTGGGAGTACAGCAGGCCCCTAGTCTGCCCATACACTTACTACAGTCAGCAGCAGGTCCTAAGGAAGGGCTTGTTCCTTTCAGGGTGAGCAGAAGAGAGTGCTGCAGAGGAAATTGCCCCCATGCTATCCCTGATATATTCTGCCCTATACAAGCAGGATGGCTTGGGGGTCCTCAGCTTAGCCACTGCATTTCCTCTCATCACCAGACCCCATCGCAGAGTTTGGCCAGGATTTTGCCCCAGGCTGGGTTCCTCTAATATCGTCACCGTGCACACAGATGTTTGCTTGGATCTCTATAGACTTATTTGAGGACGTGAATGTCTTTCGGATCTATTTCTTCTGTGTCTCCTTCCCCCTTGCTGCATCCCGCCAGCAGGAGGCAATGTAGCTCAGCATCACCAAGTAATGTTGGTACATATGACAACAGCCACCAAGATGAATGAGCTCCCCATCCTGTTCTGGTCGTCTTGAACAACCCTTCTGCCCCCTTTCCACAGCACTGGGCACTGCAGAAGAAAGCTATTTAATAGCTGGAACGGTGCAGCTCTTTTGCTGCATACTATGTAGTTTTTCAGAGAGTCGGGAATAAATTCTTGTCATATAATGTTGTTGTAGGGGCTTTTACAGCAATATGTGTTCCAGAAAGGTTCCCACAAACCTGAGATCAGACTTTAAATTTTGCAAGGCTATAGAGCTGCATCTAGTGGCAGCACGGATGAACTACACCACTCTGTACACCAGTAATGGTACTTAGGCTTGGGTATGCACACATGTATAGATATGTGTGAGAGGGAGACTTAGATGGATATGTTCTTTTCAACCTGGGTTGAATTTTTATCAGTGTGTAGCTATAAAAAGAAAGCTCTTTGGTGCATGGTACATGGAACTGGAAATATTCACTTGAACTTAATTTTTGTTGAAAAATCAGCCAAGGTTAATTTATATCAAATAGTTCCAGGAACAGAGAAGCAATAGCATTTGCCTACAGAGGCTGGCTGAAATGTGAAAATAAATTTAAGATGAATATGCAGCCAGGCTCCTAGTTGCTGAACCAATCAGGCTCTGAAATGAACAGTCCTAGAGTAATTGAGTGAAAGTATGTAAAGTCTACAAATAGAAAGTGAATGCGAAAAGATAAGGTGGGGGAGGTACTGTCTTTTATTGGTCCAGATCCTAACGAAGAGCTCTGTGTAAGCTCCAAAGCTTGTCTCGCTCACCAACAGAAATCCAATAAAAGATAGAACCTCCCCCACCTTGTCTCTCTAATATCCTGGGACCAATATGGCTCCAGCAGCACTGCAAATGAAAAGAAAAGCAGATTCAGTGGGAAATAACTGCTTTGCAGGCTTTATGGGAATCATGCAAAGTACCTTTTATTGTCTAAAAGGCAACTTACAGACCAGTGAAATCTCTGAGAAATGGATTCCATTTAGCGGAACAAACTTTCAACCTAAGGCTAGAAAGGTTTTCAATGACATTTTAGTGCAGCTATTCACACATGACGACGGAGGAACGTTCTGAGATTTGAACGCTGTCTGGGACTAGGATAGTGGCAGCTTAAGGGCAGTGTTAATAGTTTATTTTTCTGGTCTCTCCACACTCATTTTACCCCAGTTAATAGTCAGAAAACCAGATTCAGTCGGAGCTAATTTCTTGGGTACTGGAAATATTAGACACCGTGCTTCAGTCTCAACCATTACAATTCTTCTGAAATAATCAGAAAGGATGCAAGTTTACCGTCGCCCCCAAATTGTTGCCTATCAAGACCCTTTATGTCAAGATAGTGGAGGCTCAGAAATGCCAAATATAATTAAAAACGGTTTCAGATGTAATTTATACCTGGCAAGAAGTGCGGGCGTGGAAACAGAGGGCTAACGGTTCAGATTGCATCTACAGCACTAGCAGATGCATCTGTGTGCAGGGAGATGATGCGATATTTACACACAGAAAATTTTATGTGTGAAAACGCCAGGTGTGGGTTTTTTACACATTCAGATAGATGGACCTGCAAATATTTCAGGTGTGTGCAGCTGTCAAAAAATGGGGCTCTTCTGCCCAAACCTATGCATTTATCTTTTGTGTCATTGCCACCCATTGCACAAGGTTCTGTTTTGTTACTGGGCTGGGTGGTTAATTGTCAAAATTGGAGGAGAGGGATTGAAATTGTACTAGGACAGCATCTTGTAGGTATTTTTTTTTTTGGATAAACTTTCTACGGAAGTTGTGCCAACATTCTTTCATTACGATCCTGCCCTCAGAAAACACAGTTCGTCAGACTGCTTCAGAGGAGGAAGGAGGCTGTCATGTAGAGAGAGCTCAGGATGATGAACCCAGACGCTTAGATGCAGGCCAGATGAATGAGGTACAGTGATTAATTTGTTATTTTATGATCCACTTTTTCATGAACATGTTGTCCCTACTTAGTGAGTTAGGGGGCCTAAATAGGAGAGTGACACAGATAACCGTGGATGATCTTCTATCACTGGGCCATTGATTTATATGGCTAATCTGTAATTCCTCTGGGGGCTTGGTGATGAAAGGTGTGAAAGTTTTTACTTCGCTCCTCACTGAGATCTATGAGCTATACCAGAGCTGGAATGCTCAAATAGCAGGTCTGCAGTGGCTTTCTGAACTGACCTGCATACACAGTAGGTGGAGTGGTTACAACACCTGTATCGAGGTTGCTTAGCACTTTGCAATTAGAACGCCCTCTTTTTAATTGCTTAAATTGGGAGTCTGCCCCCACACACTTCATTGCAGGATCATGGCCTAAAACAATCGTGGCAATTTGAATGCACCAATTCTCCATAAACACAATAAAATGTACTCAAGGAAACACATCAAAATAATGAAGCGGGTCAAATAATAAATAAGGAGAGGGGCAGAAACAAAACAGAGTAAAATTAAGAACCATGGTTATTGTGTTTACTCCTCCCCTTTAGGTTGCTACCCAACGATTACTTGAACTAAATCAGTTTGTTGTTAATACAGACCGTTCTAACTACTTATGCAGAGCATCAGGAATCTATTATATAGAAACAAAATGGCTATGTTTTGGGGTCCCTCTTGTTTCTAAGGGCATCTCGGATTAGGGTCACATCATAGCTTTTACACTGTATGTATGTATGTACCTTTCATAACACCAGGATGATCCTTGTGTCTCTGTTCTAATTTCAGGGAGTCGAATGCATTCCTGATATTAGGGAAGTGCCACAAGAAGCCAGAGACGACAAAGATAACACAGCAGGAGAAGCAAGGACATTACACCTGCAAGTTCCCAAGGAGGAGGACTTTAGTCAAGGCACAGCTGATACGCAGCGAAGTAAGGGATCGAGGAAAAGAGCAAGCACGATGGGCCTGCTTGAAGACAAGACAACTAAGCATCTCCGAATGATGCCTTAATTGCCTCACTCAAGGAGCAAATCCACTGTGCAGTCATAAAAGGCTAAAATAATCAGCTAAAATAATCAGAATCTCTAACCACACTGAGATTTCTCCAGATTAGTTACAAGGGTTTTGCAAGGTAAATATTCTGAATCTTTACAAAATAAAAATAAACTATTGTTCTTTTAATTGTTCTTTTCTTTTGCTTCCTACCAAGAAATTAAATAGTAGTCGAGCCTAGTTATTTCCCTGCTTTGGAAAGATTTTAATGGATCGCGTGAGATGTCTAGAAAGAAGTAATTAGGTGACTTGTAGATACTGATGTAAGAAGATATTTCTATGGAAACAACATCCTGTATTATGCAAGGGAGATACCGCAACACAGGTTGGTATCAGAATGACGGCTCTGTAACCTCCCTTTCAAAAAGAACAGTTGATCTGGAAATTCTTTCAGCTGAGCTTTTCCAGCAGAAAAATCTGCCTTAAGCTACAAAGTGGACGGGGGGATGGGGACAAAAAAAAAAACGCATGGTCTACATTAATGCAGAAGTTTGGAACAGAGAGAAAGCTACAGGCCATAAATTGCCTTTAAGTTTAGACACTGAGATCACATTGTGTATATAATTTAAGGCACAGTTGTAGGAACTTTGTGTGGATTGCTTATCTCACGTATTGTATTTCATGTGGACCAATTCCTAATGCTTTACAATAAAAGAAAATATATTGATAATGTGTCTCGCCAGCTTGCACAAGTTACAGTGTGGTTAAAAAAAACCCCTCACCTTTCAGTCCCTCCCCACACAGTCAGGGTGGTGCTGTTCTAGCTTGACTTACTGATATATCGGGAACACTTTATTTATAATACATAAATCAATGCAAGGCAGTGCTTAATTCTACTTTTACAACCAGCCTCCACTGCAGCACCAAATGGGTGCACCAGGTTCCATGTCACCACAGTGGATGTTGCATTTAAGGTTGGACACTTAAAGGTTTTCAACAGTTGTCATGGATCTAATCTTCTCTGAGGGTAAAATTTACCCTAATGCAGAGAAGCCTGCCCATGGCTGCCTGTGCTTCTGGGATCCCTGGGTGCCATGGAGGGGGGCTCTGAACTATCCTCAAGAGGCAAGGGCAAGGATGATTTAGTTGGGGTTGGTCCTGCTTTGAGCAGGGGGTTGGACTAGATGACCTCCTGAGGTCTCTTCCAACCCTCATATTCTATGATTCTAAGGGGAGCAGTGGTGAGCCTGGGGTAGGGTCTGGATCCACACATACTCAGATCCAGTGGCCTACAGTCCCCACATAGGGGTCATGGAAGGGGCAGAGGAATCTATTCCAGTCCATGGACTGATGCAGAATTCATAGAGGGGGCTGCACTGTACCATGTCCACAGATTGCAGGGGTGAATTCCTTCCTTTTCACACCCTCCATAGGTCCCCACATGAAGCCCTGACACTGGTTTTGTGTAGGGAAGGGTGGATTTCACCCATAGACCCCGATTTAACATATCACTTAAGCATGTATTTACATCAATCCCTGTTCAACAGTGCGCTTCAGTCCGATTGAAATCAACCTTTTCTGGACATCTTCTACAGAAGAGGGAGTTATCTACTGGTGCTGTAATAGGAAATTATGTTAATTTTGCCATGAGAGGTGATATATTGATCACTGAACCAGCCATAATTCTGATGCAGACATGCTTAGCAACCCCTGACAGAGCTAGCCTATCTCCCAGAGTAAGATTGGCCTATCCATATGTGGCTGATCTGTAGAGGATAGGCTGGCCCAGTGCAATGAGTGTATGAAATGGGGATTCGCTTGGGAAACGGTGCCCTTATCCATGGCATCTTAGTTTCTCTGTACCTAAGTAGGGTACATCTGGCATCTTTTATAAAACATTGTATCAACTGTTGGATGATAGCTGGCCCAAGGCATAATAGAAAATAAAGGCAGCTGTAATCTTCGTGACAGCTGATCCCATGTTTCATTTTAGTCCACTATGACAGCTATGTTTGCATGTGGTAGTCTGTATTCTAAATCTCATTGTAACAGATCAGAATTGTTCCAGCACACTGAGTGGATCCTAGGTTCGCCTTAATTATATCTGTCAACTTAAATATATTTAAATAAAACCAGGTGAGCCCTATTTGAACTTGTCACGTTGGAATAAAAGGGATGGACAATATAGTATATGTGGAGTGGGGAGACATCTAATTTGGTGAAATTAATTCCATACCTAGGAGCTCTTGCAGTCAAACAGGAAACATCAAGTTGTCAGTATATCCAGGTTGAATTTCTGTTCTCCCTCTTTGGTTCCCAATGATCCACATACTGGTTTCCTAGCTGTTGTACCTTGATGATTTTTTTTCAAATGTGAAAGGATTTTCTTTCTCTCCAAGTAATACACCTTTCAGGAGAAATGCATAACGAGATAATGGGCATATCCTAAAGGTGAGCCAAGGTTCAACTCTGATGGGACAGAGTTCTCTGCGTGTTGACAGACCAGCAAGTGCCCCAAAACTAGTAAACTCACTGCAGTTTCTCTAACCACAGACAAAATGCCAGCTAACCATGGGTAACATTTCCCCTCCTGATTGTGTGATTTAAGGAGGTCCCATTTTTGGCTCATCTGCCTTTCCCATCAAATGAAGGAGACCAAACACAAACATTGAAAACAAAGGAAGCTGGAAACTAGTCCATTATTTACACCCAATAGAACATCGCAGCTGGGTGTTCTAAGTTAGCAGAACCAAAGGTGCCATGCTGCAGGCTGCATTTGTCTCAATGACAAATGCTATATAAGGAAGTAGGCTTCCTCCCCCTCACATCATATGTGTGTGCTCTGTCTCTGTCTCTCTCTCCATAAATAATATATCTAATACAGGAGATGTGGAACCTACTATAAAAGGAGTCTTTTTAGGATATCTGACTTAAAGGATGTCCCAGTCTGAGTACTAACTTCCTTTGTGTGCATTAAGGTGTCTGATGCATTTAGAAGTTCAGACCTGCAATTGATTCTTGGCTAGTCTTAACTGTTTTTGTATAAAAGCCTTAGGTGCTGCATTAGGTTAATGTGCCAGTCTTTCATTTTTGGACCCATTTGTTGAGCTCTGTTGTCAATCACAAATGCAAAGAGTTTGATAATCTCAACTAGCGATGGGACTGAACTAATTTTTGTTTATAGGTTTCGTACAGTACTCATTACTGTAGTGTCTGAGCACATCATATGCGGTAATGAATTTATCCTCACAACAGTTCAAAAAGGTAGGGGAATAGTATCTCTATTTTACAGCTATTGAGTTGTGGCACAGAGAGGTTACGTGAAGTCACACATGCTTTCTGTGGCAGAAACAGAACCCTCATCTTCTGAGTCCCATCTCAGTGCCTTTAAGGCAAAAAAACCTTTCCTCTTATAACAGAACATCCAGCACAAACTTTACCTTTCACTCAGGAATAAAACATTTTGTATGAGGGAGAGCTGAATGGTTTAGAGAGAGAACACTTTGGTAGTGGTTGGAAGTTGTTTTAAGCGTCCAAACTTTTTGATGTTCATCTTGGCCACTAGACTACCCCAATGGTGTCCACATCTTCTTCATCACAACACAGTTAGTGCTTCTGCTTAGGGGAGAGAGGAGAGAAAGGGCCCTGGGTGTGAGGGCAGGACTGTTGGCAGATCTGAGGTGAAATTTGCCCTGGATTTGCCTCCTGCTAGTCCTTATGAACGTTGGGGCTAAAAATTCACCCAGAAATAAAACCGTTAACCTCTGAAATATGCACTAGCAGAGTCATCTAGGTAGATACCCATGGTGGGTGCCAACAAAATCAAGGATCTGAAATGTAGATCATAGATTCTAAAGCCAGAGAAGACCACTATGATCATCTAGTCTGACCTCCTGCATAACACAGGCCAGAGACTTCTACCCGGTGATTTCTGCATAGAGCCCATAACTTCTGGTTGAAATAGAGCATGTCTTTTAGAAAGACATCCAGTCTTGATCTGTGCCCTTAAAGTGATGGAGAATGCACCACATACCAAGGTAAATTGCTCTAGTGGTTAATTGCCTTCACTTTTAAAAATGTGCACCTTATTTCCAGTTTGAGTTTATCTAGCCTCAGCTTCCAGTGGTGGATCACGTTATGCCTTTTTGGCTAGATTAGAACCCTATACTATCAGATTTCTTCTCTCCGTGTAGGTACTCACAGCCTGTCATCAAGTCACCTCTTTCCTTTCTCTTTGATAAGCGAAATAAATGGAGCATCTTAGGTCTGTCACTGGAAGGCAGGTTTTCCAGACCTCAAATCACTTGTAGCTCTTTTCTGAACCCTTTCCAGTTTTCAATATCCTTTTGAAAGTGTTTGCACTAGAAATGGTCACACTGTTCCAGAAATGGTTTCACTAATGCCGTAGACTGAGGCAATCCACTCCTCCTTGATATTCCCTTGTTTATACACCCAAGGATTACTTTATCCCTCTTAGCTATGGTATTGCACTGGAAGCTCATGATCAGCTGGTTATTCCCCAGGACCACTACATCCTTTTCAGAATCACTGCTTTCCAGAATACAGTCCTCCATCCTATTGGGGTAGTGTGAGCTAAGATGTGATACCCACAGTATCTTTATAACACAGATCCCCAGTTGTCCTAATGATGAGCATGCACTGTAAAGTTTGTACAGGATACCAAGAAATTTGGAGCTATAAACCATTTTCCGTGCATTACTTCTATGGCCAGAGTTGTCACAGTTAGTATAAATTAAATCTGGTTCTGTGCCAGTGTTTTATTTAGTATTACCACAAGATGGCACCATTGTACAGCTTAAAATTTCAACTGTGCCTGGCATGACCTGTACATGACAGTGCCAAGAATGCAAACATGGCTGTTTTACCTAACTTTTTAGCAGCATTACTGGAACAGGGAAGGAATGAATAGGGTACAAAAGAGGCTATCTCCATATTTACTAATTTGATTGTTATAGCTCAGGGGTCGGCAACGTTTGGCACGCGGCTCGCCAGGGTAAGCACCCTGGCGGGCCGGGCCAGTTTATTTACCTGCTGACACGGCAGGTTCGGCCGATCGCGGCCCCCACTGGCTGCGGTTCGCCGTCCCGGGCCAATGGGGGCAGCGGGAAGCCGCGGCCAGCAC